AGAGCCAAACAAGGAGGCCCTGCACATGGTGGAGACCATTTGTCCTGATGCAAAGTGCAGAAAATTGACAGAATGAGAAAAAATACAGAAAAAAAAATGGTTTCTGTCGTGTTTAATTAATACCAACCAAGTCCTAAGTAGATTCTTGACTTAGAAAAATGAATCCTGAACTCTGAGCCTTCATGGGTTCTTCCTCCCCATCCTGAAAAATCTGCTCTTGGAGCATATTAGTTGAAGGGATTATTTCCCAATTTCTCCTTCGGTTTGGCTGTATCAGCAGTGGTTATTCCACGGTGCCCGTTATGTCCGTGAGCGTAGGAATACAATTTTAGAGCAACCCGCCTAACATCCATCTTCTTTTTTGGAAATACATGCAGATTCTCATTCTTGTCTTACCAAAGGACAGTTTCCACTGTTTTTCTTCAGGGTTTTGGGCTGATCAGATCAGTTGACCAGAAGCCTTAAATGGAAGTTTGGTCACATCCTTTGCTAGCTCCTACTCATCGTTCTGGTTTCCACAGCTTTCCCACAGTTTCCCTTTGTCTCAGCTCATCTCCTCCCCGCTAGGTTGTTCAGCTCTCCACTCACCCTGGGACATATCTAGTTTGGGTGGATGGAAACTATAATCTGATCATTCCGTGACTGGTTCAGACCTCACTGGGTGTAAAGCATGAAGAAAGACACCCATCTGTGCTTATCCTTCACTGAGGACTTGCTTTCCTGGCATGCTCCCCACCAAATTGCCAAATTCAGGCAGTTGCCATCACGAATGAGATTCCCACCTTCAGGGTGATCAAATTACCCAGCAAAGCTGTCTCTTGCTTCTTCCACTGTTTTTGGAATCGAAAGCAATCCAGCTGTCTCTAAGGATAAAAATGAAAACAAACATAAAAATAAACCACTCGTTTATTGCAAAGAGTGGGGGGAATTGGCCATTTTTTGATATCAGAAATTTCAAACAGATGGTGAGCTAATTTATATTTTCATTTTGACATTTACTTACCCAATGGGAGCACAATTAGGCCATATTTTAAAGCCACTCAAAGGGGCCTTCATCTGAAAATGTTATAGACGTATCTACAGATAATGCTCTTCACCATCAACAGAGCTTAAGGACCCAGAAACACTAGCTCTTCTATGCCAAGACCACCCTAATCAAGGGATTGATTAATGTGGGATAGGAGCCTCCTCTGAAAATGTTGGCCTCCTACTATCCTTCCTAACTCCCGTCTTGCCCCACTCCCGGCCATTTTCCCCAGAACTAGCAAAGGGATCTTCCCTTAATGCAAATTTGACCATGCCAGCCCCCTGCTTGAAATAAACCTTACAATGACTCCACAGGGCCCTCAGAATTAAGTTAAAACTCTAGTATTATCACGTTATTAAAGTCATCTTCACTCTGACCCTGCTCACTCCTCCCTGCCTCAGTCCTGGTCTCTCCTCCTCTTGTGCCCTCTGCCCCCGAGTTATACTAACCCATGTGTCCTCCCAAGATGTGCCTCCCCCTCTCTCACTGCCAGGCATTTGCAGTCACTGCCCACTTTGCCTGGAAAACCCCTCTGCCCCTTCTTCACCTGGCTCATGCCTCCCTTTTCATTTTGACTTATGCTTTACTTGCATCCCAGCGATACCATTTTACCATGCTAAAATATGACCAAAGATGATTTTACCTGAAACATTTAGAATGCTGTGACTTCGCTGATTATTCTCATGTTTGCCCAGGATTTTCATTCTTACTGAGCTCCCATCTTACACATTTTCCTATGTTGTTCCATGAAAACACACGTTAAAATCCTATAACAATACAACCTTCCAAAAAAAAAAAAAAAAAACCACCCCCAAAAGAGACATTTTGCTTAAATCACTGAAAGCAATCTAATCACAAGTGAATGATTCTTTTTCCCCACATGATGGAATTTTCCACTTATGTGCTTTACTGACTCTGGCCACATCCACGTGTGCTCTTGTCATGCCCTGTCACACACAGTCCGCCCCCGAAATAGCAATCCTCTAAACTTGATGTGTTCTATTTCCATTTTGTTACTCCATAGTTGGATAAATTATAACATTTGAATTGCCTGTTGTACAAAACTGAATTATAATCTCAATTTTAAAAGAAGATCGTAGCAGGGTGGTCTGGGTGGCTCAGATCAGTTAAATGTCTGACTCTTTTTATTTCAGCTCAGGGCATGATCTCAGCATGGTGAGATCAGGCCCTACTTTGGGCTCTGCACTGGACATGGAGCCCGTGTAGGATTCTCTCTTCCTCTCTCTCTGCCATCCCCCTAAAAAAAAAAAAAGAAAAGAAAAGAAAAAGAAAAAGAGAGGATGATAGCAGAGAATTTGCAGATATTGTGAAATTCACCTGAGATTTCACAGCATTTGTGGCAAAGACAAAAATAGAAGTTCTAACTGCAGCCTGTTTCAGTTCAGAGGTTCTCCTGGTTTGGAAATAATAGAAGAAAGAGAAATAGTCCTTTGTACGGGAAGCTAATAGCCTTGAAGAAGGACGAGTTCCAGAGCAGTGGGCCCCAGCCCAAGATGGTCAGCAGCCCTTCCAAAGTTCAATCTGGACTTGGCGGGCACTTTGCTCCCATTATACTTGCTATGGGGACATCTTTGGGTTCACTCCATCTTTTCATTTCCTCCTTTAGTGGAGTGTCACTTGCCTAAAATAGCTTTTAAGTGGCTTGCTTTATGGATGTTTTCCGCAGAACACTGCTCCTTTCCTTTCAGACTTGAATTTAATTCTAGTAAATGGATTGAATTTTATTTTTCTTTTAATGAGAGTTCTTGTCATCACATCACCCATCACGTTATCCTTCCATATTAGTGCACCTATTATTCATTTCACCAATTTATTGACCTCATTAGTTAACTGCTATTCATTCTTTCCTTTTATATGTTCAAATAAACTTAAGACTTTCTATAGCTTTCTTAATCAAGGGAATTTTTTATACTAAGTTATTGAAAGCCCTTTAAATCTAACCACTTCAATACATTTTGCCAGCTAACTGACTAGTAGAGAGGAAATAATGCATTGATGGTTGTGCCCTTTAAAATAGTTTAGATTGTGTTTAGAAAACTTGCGCAAAACTAGACGAAGTGTCTTACTTTTTTTTTTTTTAATTGCTTCCGTGTCCTGGAACAAAATGGCTCCTGCATGCTTGATATAATTAATTAGATAATTCGTTTAGGCATTGGTAGCTTGGAACAGGGCTCTGGAAGCAGGCAGCACCCTGCCACTTCAGAGCTGGGTTACTCTCAGCAAGTTACATAAGCAGTGAGGCTTCAGTGTGTTTCTTTGTCAAATACAGTTGTTGAGAGCAGGAAATGAGGTGACACCTGACATAGCAACTGATTAATCTTCTCTAGCCCTCCCTCCCTTACCTTTTCAACAAGTATTTCGGATGGAGTTGATGAAAACCAGATGAGAAAGCCACCAACACCATCCTCGTTCTCTAATTCCTCAAAAACAAAACAAAACAAAACAAAAAAAGAAACCAAAAAAAGTGACCTAACTGGAAGTAAATATTTAACCCTCATGATTTTAAAAAATATATGATTATACGGATACATATGTATATTAATAATATACGTAAATGATGAAGCTTTGTTTAACCCAGACATGCTGCTGATTTTCTAGAAAATTATGGAGCAACTGTTAATCTGGAATTGTGCCATATTCTTCAATTCTGATTACCAAATTTGGCATTGAATAGAATTCTGATCATAATCACAAGAAACTCAAATACAGGAAGATGCTACGTTCTTGAATGCTTTGTTATTTAGTTCCACTGACAGAAGATTAGTCAGTAAAGTCTTAGGAGGACACTTCCCACTGACAATCAGATTTGGGAATGCCTTTGATAGTTTTACAAACCATAGAAATTCATTTTTAGTTAAAGAATCCTATAGCACGATCATTTTAATCGTGTTTACTTATTCAGGTATTAGCTTGAGTTGTTTACTTTTCAACCTCTTTTTTGACATCCTACAGACATGAATGTTAGGAGGTTAGAAAGATCCAAGACCTAATTCTTACCATGGGCCTTGAAGTAATTTGGATGAATTCTATAGATGGAGGATGGGTAACTCTTCAACTAAAACAGCAGAATCTCAGAATTTGAAGGGGCCTTGATGATCTCTAGTCTAGTCACACATTTGAAGTCTAAATCTGCTCCAGTACATCCCAGTCAAGTGAGAGTCAACCCTTCAGGGGGAACTATCCTCCAGACAGCTCTGGCTATTAAAAAGCTATTCCTTATCTTCAACCCCATAGCTTCTACCCTTGGCTCCAAATTCTGTTGCAGATGTAAAAAAAACAGCTCTGCCCAAACTCATGAGGCTGCCAACTTCTCGAGGGCAGGTATTGTATCCACTACAGCTTCTAGCAACTTGATAAATGATTGTTAATGGAGTTAAAAGCAAAAGATGTTCCTTGTTTTGATATATGTCTTACATAATAGTAAATGACCAGTATATTTAAGGTCTATTGAGAAAGCATCATATAAATTAACTGATTTTATTGTTTAAATGCTATGGCTGATATGTTTTATTCTTCAGTGTTACAATTCAAGCAATTTTATCTGTCTTCTGTATTGCAGTTTACCTTCATTATAAAATAACATACTTGTCCCTACAACATTAACCACGAGACATCACGCGTGCCAACAAACTGAAACCCCACTAAAGTAGGCATTAGAAGTTCTGGTTTCCAGCCCCAGCCCCCCATTACCCATCTGAGTGATCCTGGCTCTTGTTCCCTATTCTGCAAACTGCAAAGATTGAACAAAATGTCCTCTTTAAGTCCTTCCCAGCTTCACGAATCGTTTGTGTTTTTAGCTTGTCTGTCCCATGTAATAAAGAATCCACAAAGACAGTCAAAGAGAAGACTTCTGATTTCTGGTTCAATTCTCCATTTATATGCCAATAATTATCCATATGTACAGTTTAAAGCTAGGGATGCTTCCCCCCCCCACCCTCTTTTCTCATTTCAGAACACTTTTCTTCAGGAAACAGTGCGTAGGGAATGTGAAGAACGCTTTGAACTGACAGAGGCTTTGAGTCAAGCCAGAGAACAGCTTCTGGAGCTCAGGAAGCTCAGTGGAAGCTCACCTTTGTCATCGTGCTCCCCTAACCAGGGCAGCCTAACCTCCTCTGCTGCAGTGGTCAGTAATCAGGGAGACAGAAGCCGCACAAGACCAAACTCTGGAAAAGGAATCAAAATCCCCAGCCTGCACGGAGTATCAAAACCCACCGCTCCCCCAACCTCAGCTCAGTCCAAGAGGGTCATTAGCTCAGGTTTGCCCACTCTCCCCCAACCCCATCCTCCCAGAGGTCGAACATCTTCAGTAAATGACACCAGACAAAGACTGGCTGCCATTCTGCGGAGGAGACTGAGTCAACAGTGAGTGATCCACACGGCACGCCTGGTCTTTCCAGTGTGCCAGGGATACACTGTAATTGAGGATGGCAAAGGTCAAGTTATTATCACAGATCAAGAATGCATGTTTGTAGATATTTTTAATAGGATAATTGGAAAAACTAGGAATCGTGAAGCCACACTCTCTAAGAGACCTTTGAAATTGCAACAGATGATGAAGTTGACGATAATCCCAGAGGGCCACTCTCTATACTTCTATATCGTATGTTTAGATGTGTTCTATGACTATGTCCTTTTAGAGATCATAGGTAAATGTTTTCACTCATAGCATCTTTTCAGAGTTTGTTGTTTGTTGAGCTGAGTAGGTTAAAGAGATGTAAATCATATTTCAAATAGAAAACGGAAGTACTTTAGTCCTAAATTTGATAGTTTCCAAAATGTTTAGTTCAAATATTCACAGAATTCATCATCTGCATAGAAACCTCTTCTTTTTCACCTCACAATCTAATTGATTAAGCTAATTTCTTTTTAGGCCAGAAGCAATGATAGGTACCCTTCAAGAAGGCAGGCTTCCTTGTGAGGCTGGGACCTTCTAGAAAAAGGGACAGCAACTCCAATACAAGGAAAATGTGGTTTACCTTTCAAACTATTGAGATTATTTTTAAAAACAGAGAGCCTGGATAACCATGAAAATTTACTTGGTAAAGATTTTCTACATTGAATGCTTTTTGATAATCGCAGTTAGATCTTTATTTGAATTTGTATCCTACAGCCATTGGTAAAAGAACTAATTCAGGACAGTTCTGTAGAGGTGCATAGTGCTAATTGGGGGTTCACATTTTACTACTGAAAATGGGCAACTGGTTAATATATTTTCAATTTTCAGAGTGAAAAATTAAAACCAGAAACCAAACAGTTATTTTAAGTTACAAAGCTTCAAGTCCCTCCTATTTCTTAAAACACAACTCTTTACCTTAAGCTAATGTTTGTCTATCTTTTTCCTCTTCAAGCTGAAATGTAATTTTTTTTCAAGACTGACTGACTTAAATCTTTCATCTGACTGTATCAGGGATATCGAGGCTTCTTACTTCTAGATAAGCATAGAGTAACACGTGAAATAATGGCATGTAAAACTCTCCTCTGGCTATCATATTGATGAGAGAATCCAAAGGTACTTGGAATCCCTCCCATCTGAAAAAAAAAAAAAAGTAAAGCTACTAAGTAAATTCAAGTTTATCTCTATCTTTCAAAGGATTAGTCTAATCTACCAGGAGTGTTTTAGCCTCAAAAAAAAAGAAAAAAAATTCCACATTAGGTCTGCTGATTCTCTGACTAGTTTGAGTATATCTTATGTTAAGGCTCAGAGTGCTGAGTTTTCGCTTTACAGAGATCAGTATTCCTTATGATGGCATTTGACAAGAGAACAAAACATCGTTGAATGGTGACCCCCAAACGTCTCTTTACAAATAAAGCATAAATGCCCGAAGAGGTCTGACTTGGCTACAGCAGTACAGCTGATTAGAGACAGAGCTAAAACCAGACCACTGTTAACTGACCCCAACTTTCCACCTTGCTTTTCCACTCATCAGAGATTCCCCAGCCCCCATCATGACTTTTCTCAGAAGCCCTACATAGTATTTACCTAATGTTTTCTTTAAATGCACTCACTTTTTAAAGTTATTAAAAAGAAAACTTGACCCAAAGGAAGAAAAACTGTATTGAATTTGATTTTCTAGGTATATTTTTTCTAATACTTTGAAATAAATGCGTATCTACTAAAATATGAAACGTTAATTGGCATGCCCCCTAAAATCATCCTGTATAATGACAGTAATACTCATGCCGTACTCAGGGACGTATCTTACCAGACCTCGATGTTCCTGATCTGGTATTTGCATGTTTATTACAAATACTAGTGACATAAGGTAGATGACAAAAGCTGATGAAAACTTTAGTAAAAGCATACAAGAATATCAGATGGTACGCGTATCTCCACAGTCTCACAATTTCAGCAATCTCTTCAGGAACCATGAGGATACATTTTTCCTAAATTATGAATAGATTTAAATCTGTAAAGAAAGTCACACACAAGCTTTTTCTAAAGTGATGTAAAGACTATCAGTGCAAAACCTGGTTTCTTGATTTATTGTTACACTCTTGCTTATATAATGAGTAATTATGCAAATAATCTCTCCGAGCGTAGAATCAGGATGTGCGGTAAGGCTGTGCTATGTTCCACAAGTACATTAGAGAGATAAACAGAGAGACAATATTTACGTTTGTTTCAAACTAGACCACTTGAATGGTGCCATCTAAGCTATGTGCTGGTGTCTTTTAAAGAAAGACACTTAAAAGAGAATCACATTAGTGTATGTAACCTGGGGATTTAAGAGCACAAACTTTCCTTGATTTTCTCACCGATGAGCTGACTCCTAGCATGAAACAGTAGCAGGAATGTTAAGGAAGTAGAGAATATCATGGCAAATTAAAGCTCTCAAAAGCATATGACGGATATTGATTTAAGTCTATTAGTTTTAATTTCTCTCTCTACCTATGTTTTCTGTGACCTCAAGGGAAGGATTGATGGGTGCAAAAAGAAAAGAATATCACAGAAAATATTCCTCACAGAATTATAACCCTATTTTGTTTTTCTTCTGTAGACAAAGATGGAGAATTCTATAGTTAACACAGATTTCTCAAGTAATTTTTGAAAGTCTTTTTTGAATTAAATTACTACATTTATAGTTAGTCAGAATTACTTAAAAGTTATATTTCCTGGAAATGGAATTGGCTGGAAGAGACATTGATGTTGAAAATTATGTAAAACTAGGGTTTTTTTAAAAAATATTCTATTAGTCTTAAAAGTTTTATAATACTACAGATCAATTATAGCTAATTTCGTTGATTATGGAACAAATTTTCTCAAGCTTCATCTTGTAGGGTTCTTATGATTATTATAATTTTGCACTGATAGAGCAACCTAGTATCCTAAAAGGGTTAATGCACTGGAACTGAAAATTCCAGAATATTATGTTGTATTTAATGGAACACAGGAAAGCAATTTAATATGTGCCCAAAGTTCACAAATCCTACAATGATTATAGATTTTTTTTAACTTTTTCACTTCCATGCCTTAAGAAAATAATGCATGTGCACTGTATTTTGCACAGAACACCTTCTATAGTCCCCAAGCCATGATAGGCAATAATGGCAGCATTCCTAAGGTGGTGTCTATGGTATCTTAAGGAAGAAATTCTGCTTTTCCTTTTGAAAATATTAACCCTATATAGTGATAAATTGTGAAGCCAATATAATTGTGCTGCATCTTTAGAATCTTAAATACAAATCATGTCATCTTTGTTTATTCTTAATTCGCACAAAATTTTCTTAACAGCACAGTAGTTGAATCTGAAACACACCTATCCTATGACAATATTTACCACAATCCAGTATTCGAAAGATTTCCTTCCTCTCCAGCATTCACATAGCATAGTGCTTTATATCCATTAAGTGAGTAAAAGCATTTACTAGACATCCCTTACCCCTACCCCAAAATATATAAAAGAATACTGTGTCACAGAGACTACATAATTTATCCAAAACAAATACTAATTAAGACCAAGGAATAGCTTTGAAATTTCTACAGTTTCTGAGCGTCTTGATCTGTAGAATAATAGTGAAGCTATATTATACAGTCACTGATTTCTTCAACAGATACAGAGAATTGAAAAAGCACTGGGAGAGCTCTACTAATGAAGACAGACCACAGATTGCCAAGAATTGTATAGTAGAGAGTGAGAGGAAGCAGATGCAGAAATTATAACGTAGGTGCAGTCAGTGCGGAGAAGAGAATCAAAAGCAAGGTGTTACGTGAGTTCAGCTTCTTGCTGGAAGAATCAGGGAACATTTTTAGCAAGAACTGTCACTTGTCAAAGGTCCTAATAGGTAGAGTTTTACAGAAGAAGGTACTCTAGGTAGAGGAGATGTATAAAGAGGCACAGAGACGGGAAGGTTGGAAGATATTTAGTGAAGGGAAGTAATAAATAATGAAGTTGTTGAATAAGGAGCTTTGCAGCATTTTGACTGGAAGAGGCATGCACTTTGTTGAAATCTGGCAGGGATTTAGAGGAATGATTATGGAGTGGAAAGACTGGAGATGGAACACGAGTTGGTAGATTAGTACAGTAGTCCAGACAAGAGTTACATGGGATTCTGAGTAAAGATGCTGATAATGGAAATAAACAGGAAGGAGCTGACTCCAGTTCTATTCAAAGAAGGGAAAGAATTTGTTCCCTGTTAAATATTTTTTGAAACTGTTACTAGCTATTGCCACTTAGCAGGGGTGCAGTGTGTGTGAGATCAGCTCCAAATAAAAGATCACCCTCTACTTAAGAATATTACAGTTTCTCTGAAAAATGTGAAATCATAAACTATATTTTCATTTGGGCAACAGATAACTAATCCCACAGACTCAGTATTCATAAGAATTTTCCTTAAAGTTAGAAGAAAATTCAAATCTAAGTAGTGTTCTAAGAATTATGGAGGAAGAATGAGGAAATTGACATTTAAAAAAAAAATAGTGATCATCTTGGCCTCAAAAGGGGCAAAGCGCAACTCAGTGGTGATCTTTGGGAGTGATAGAGTGCAATAAGACCTTTCCTGATTATGAGGGAAAGTACAGGAGATAGCAGCCAAAATAAAAATGAGTGTTATCTTAAAATCCTTAAATTTCAAAGCAACTTGACACATCCCCTGGACCAGACCTATAATTTTACAGAAGGAGATAATGGGTCCCTTAGAGGTTAAATAATCTTTTAAATTCTTATAACTGCTTAACAGCTGACTTGATGAGAAAGTCACGGCCTCCAGCTCTTGGCCAAACATCTCATTCCTAGACTGGAAGAATAATATAAATGCTGTGAATTTTTGCCGCCCAAAGTGATCCAGCAGGATCACTTGTTAGAAATGCAGACTATCAGGCCTCACACCCAAGCCTACTGAATGAAATCTGATTTTAATGAGATCCAC